TATGAGTTTAGTGCTGTCATTTTGATGTCTTTTTTTGTATGTTGTTCACAGTTTCTTTGTTCCACTTAATTTTCTGTGCTGAGTCGTTTTTCTTTATTTTCTTTTCATCTTTTTCATTGTTATTGATTTTGTATTTGCTAAGTCTGCATTTTTCTAGTTTTTTATTTTGATGTGTAGGATTGTTAGCTTCCTTAATATTTACCCCTATTTTTCTAAGTTTATACTGTCTGTTATTTCTTTATGTCGCCTTGACTTCCTCTCCATATGAAAAATCAAAGTATGTTTTTTAAGTCCCTCTTTTTTTTTTTAATGTTGTCATCTTTTACATACTGACATCTGTTTCCCTATTTTCATTGTTTTAGCTTTGATTTATTTTTGTAACTTCCCTATCTGGGTTGATACCTGGTTGCTCTGTCCTGTGTCCAGTCTTGGGTTGTTATCTGATGTTACTGATTTTCTAACCAGAGGACTCCCTTCAGTATTTCTTGTAATTTTGGTTTGTTTTTGCAAATTCCCTAAACTTCTGTTTATCTGGAAATGCCCTAATTTCACCATCATATTTGAGAGACAGTTTTGCTGGATATATAATTCTTGGCTAGCAGTTTTTTTCCTTCAAGGCTTTATATATGTCATCCCATTGCCTTCTTGCCTGCATGGTTTCTGCTGAGTAGTCCCAGCTGATTCTTATTGACTCTTCTTTGTAGATAACGTTTCGTTTATCCCTAGCCGCTCTTAAAATTCTCTTTTTATCTTTGGTTTTGGCAAGTTTGATTATAATATGTCTTGGTGACTTTCTTTTGGGATCTACTTTATGTGGGGTTCGATGAGCATCTTGTATACGTATCTTGTCATCTTTCACGATATCAGGGAAGTTTTCTGCCAAGAAATCTTCAGTAGTTCTCTCTGTTGTCTCCCCTCTTCTGATACTCTAGTCACTCAGGTTATTCCTCTCGATAGAATCCCACATAATTCTTAGGGTGTCTTCATTTTTTTAAATCATTTTATCTGATTTTTCCTCAGATAAGTTGGTGTCAAGTGCTCTATCTTCATTCTCAGTAATTCTGACTTCCGTTGCCTCAATTCTGCTCCTGTGACTTTCTGTTGAGTTGTCTAATTCTGACATTTTATTGTTAATCTTCTGGATTTCTGATTGCTGTCTCTCTGTGGATTCTTACAGCCTGTTAAATTTGTCATTCTGCTCTTCTCTAATCTTTTTAATTTTCTCTGTTGCATGTTCTGCGTTTTGCTTAATTTCCTTCCTAATGTCTTGAAGAGTTCTGTATATTAATCTTTTGTATTCTGCCTCTGGTAATTCCAAGAAATTTTCCTCCTCTGGAAAATTTCTAGATTCTTTATTTCGGGAGCTTGCTGAAGGCATCATGGGCTGCCTGTTTATGTGACTTGATATTGACTGTTGTCTCCGAGCCATCATTATTATATGTATTTATTTTATGTTTGCTTACTGTGTCCTAGGCTCTTGTTTTGTTTTGATATGCCCAAATTGGCTCCTCGTATGAGCTGGTTTGATTATTGGCACCTTTGAAGCTCTAATGTCCTGTCACCAGGTGGTTAGATCTGTCACTAGGTATGTGAGCTCAGGAGTCCACCCACTCCTCGTGTATGGATTCAACTCAGGTGCCCAAGTAGATAGCCGCCAAGTGTGTGGTGTAGGCTCTCACTTACAGTCCTAGACAGGCATGGATGATTGGTGTAGGCACAGACGTCTAGCTGTAGCAGGGGGACACGCTCTGAGAAAGGCAGGGGGCTGATGGCTGACCCCGAGTGTCCAGGAGGAAGGCGTGTCCCTGTTCACTAGAGCACATGGGTGGGTTTTGCAGCTGGACTAGGAGCACCTAATGCTGTTGGCTGTAAGGACTGGGGGACACCTCTTATTCATGGGCCCCTATCACAGGTGGCTAGGTGGCGTGGGTGGAGACAGCAGTCCTCAGGCCCCTGATGTGGGTAGGTGAAGACCCTGCTTAATGGGCAGAGCAGTGTCATAAGTCACGAACCTGCCACTTCACATTTGAAACAGTTGAAGTTAGACTTTAGGTATATACCCTGTTGTACTGTGGTAATGAGGGCCTATGCTGTTGAAATGGGCCCACACAAGTCTATGCAGGGGGAAAGGCACTCAAATTCCATGGATCCCTTATGCCTGTGCCTAGGCATAGGAGCTGTGCCTACCCTGAGTTCCTGGCTTAAGGGAGCTGGCAGGTTATTTTTACCCTTGTTTGTTAATTTGTTCACTCTCCAAGGCTGGGAGAATGGTTCAGGTTGTGTGACAGTCCTAATTCCGGCCCAGGGGACTCAGCAATTGCTGAAGCTGGTCCAGGACTCAGTGCAGAGCAGGGAGCGGGGAGGTAAATGGGAGAGAGGTTTTTCCCGCAGGGGGATGTTTTTGATCCACGCGGTAGGCCATACGCAAGTACTTATCTTTCGCCGATCGAGGGCTGCTTCTCACTGGTTTTGGGTGACCAAGTAGACCCTCTGCCACTGGGTCTCTCCCAGTGTGGAATACACGTCCTGAGGACCGCTGCTTGCCTGCCTCACTGCTCACGCATGAGCTGATCAGGCCTGAAGCACTCAGGCGCTCGCCAGGTCAGGTTTGGCAACTCCTCTATCCTTCTGAACTGTCTCTCCCTCCCCCTGCCACTCAGTCCAGTTCCTAAACTTTGCCTTTGATGTTCAGGGCTCCTTCAGGGCTCCTAGATTGTCATATATAATTGATTCACTTGTTTTTTCGGGTCTTTCTTGTAAGAGGGTCCACCAGAAGCGTCTGACTGCTCCAGACTGATACTACTCTGACATCTTGGCCCAGCCAGTCTTTTGTTTTTAAGTTTTACCTTATTTGGAAATAATTTCAAACTTACAGGAAGGTTGCACGAATAAGAAAAGTACGAATAATACCATCCAGATTCACCTTTTTTCTTTTTTTCTTTTTAACATTTTACTCATTTGCTTTCTCATTTTTACCCCCACCCCATGTCTCTTTATCTCTCTCACTATTTTTTTCTGAACCATTTGACAGTAACTTACAGATACCATGCTCCTTTATCCCCTAACCACTTCAGGGTATGTTTTCTAAGATTAGTGATATTTTCTCATTTAACCTACAGTACAGCTTTAGTAAATTTAATATTGATACTATGCTTTAATCTACTGCTTGTTTCCATTTCTGTTAATTGACCCAGAAATGTCCTTTGTAGCCTTTTTTTTCCTTGTCTGGTACAAGATCCAGTTTAGGACCAGGTATGCATTTAATCGTCAGGTCTGTTTAGCCTCCTTTGATCTGATACATTTCCACAGCTTTGCCTTCTGTTTTACAACATTGAGATTTTAAAAGAATACAGCCCCCCCCCACCACCTTTTAAACAGACTGTTCCTCATTCTGATGTTTCTAAATGATTAGATTTTGGTTGTGCACTTTTGGCTAGAATGCTACATAGATGATGGGTCTTTCTCTGATACCACATCTGGGGGCACATAATGTACATCTGCCCCTCCTGAGTGATGTTAGAGTACCTGGTCAAGGTATTGTCTATTGTCTATTGTACAGTTAATATTTTCCCCTTGCAACTGATAGCAATCCATGGAAAGACATTTTAAAATCTTGCAGATATCCTACTCATTGTGGTCCCTCCTAGATTTAGCATCCGTTGATTGTCCTTGCCTGATCCAGTCTTGACTATTGTGGTTACAAAATCCTGAGTTTTTCCAATTCCTGCACTACCTCCACTTTTACTAGTTAGTGCTCAGCATTCTGCTGTCAGCCAGAATCCTCCCTTTTCCCTATTTTATTTTGTTATTGTGATGGACTTATTACCGCAGCCCCCCTCCCTAATAGTTTATGGTTCATTACTGTGTGAAGCAGAGGATATAACTTCACAAAATGGATGATGTTAAGAGGTCAGTAACCACCCTAAAATTGTGTGCAAATGTTGTGTTATTTGGGCATGTTTTCTGGGGAGAGTGTCTGTAACTTTCATCAGACTCTAAAGGATTCTTGCCTCAAATAGGATTAGGTTCCACTGGGAAAAAGGGTTAAACTTTCAGCTTATCTGTACCCTTGTATATTTATATATTCTTTCCCTTGCTTTTTAGCATTTTGTCTACTGTTTTTAAACTACAACTTAAAAACTATATTTTGGTTCCTTCAAAAATTTTGCAGGAATATATAATAAATATTCATATCGTCATTACCACCGTAGCAGCAGTTTATGGTGTATAGAACCAGTCTTGTGAAGCAGTGAATTACCTTGATTTAATCTGAAATTTTAAAACCAATGTTTTTTACACTGTAGTTTTATTAGCTCTCTGGGAGTGAGCTACATGATGTTGTGCACTGAAAATTACCCCAGTGTTCTGGCCTTCTCTTTCCTGGATGAGCTTCAGAAGGAGTTCATTACTACTTATAACATGATGAAGACAAATACTGCTGTCAGACCATACAGTTTCATTGAATTTGGTAAGGGCCTGATTTTTTTTTTCTTTTTATTATCCTGTCTCCATTCAGTCATAAGCAATTTTTCATCTGATACTGGGGGGCAAAGGGGGAAGCTTAGAAAATTCTGCTGCCTTGTTTTTGATAGGAAAATTTGGCAAATGATGTATAAATTATGGCAACTACTTACCTGATTAAGATGTCTATTAGAAAAAATTGTGTTTGAGCTGTGAAAGGGATTGTGCTTATTGGCACAAAGGATTAATCCCGGGGGACAGTTTCTTAGCTGTTCAGAGTTTTGTGTTTATGTGACAATCTTACATAGTCTGCTTCATGTAGAACAGTGGATGGCAAACATTTTCTGTACAGGACCAGATAGTGTATAAACGAATGAGCATGGTTCTGTTCCAATAAAACTTTATTTACAAAACAGGCAGCAGGCTGGATTTGGCGTATGGGCAGTAGTTTGCTTGATTCCTAATGTAGAGGGGGAAGAAAAGTTAAACCAGGTTGCAAATAGTAAAAATATATTTCTACTTGGAAGATATGTAGGAAATATTTTTCATTGGTTTCACTAAATTTATTCTTTAAAATGTACATTCTAATGGTGTAAGTAGTAAATAAGAACAGATGTATGAAAACATGCAACACATAGTGTATGTTCTTGTGTAATTACAACTGATAAGTATTGACAGACTTAATATTTCATGAGATAAAAATCCCTATAAAAATTAAAACTGTGGTTTAAAGTTCAAGCTGTTTTGTTTCTGTAACTCCTTGAAGTGGATATAATAAAAATATTCTCATACTGATGTAGTGCTAAACTATTAGTTTATTTACAATTATTAATTTCTAGAGTATAAAACTAAAGACTCCGTGATACATTAACCATTAAACACGAAGAGTGTTCAGATATTCCATGACAGATTGCATAGTGGTTTCGAATAGCAAATTAAACTGTTTATCTGCAGAATTTACTGTCCATAAACATCACACTCTCAAATGATTTAATTAACACATGACTGCAGGGAAATTTATTTTTTATTTTAATAGATAACTTCATTCAGAGGACCAAGCAGCGATATAATAATCCCAGGTCTCTTTCAACAAAGATAAATCTGTCTGACATGCAGATAGAAATCAAGCTGAGGCCCCCTTATCAAGTTCCCATGTGTGAACTGGGGTCAGCCAATGGAGTCACATCTGCATTTTCTGTTGACTATAAAGGTGCTGGGAAGATTTCTTCTGGTGAGTTCTGGATCTCAATTATTTCATTTTTAAAAAAATCATTGTTTTATAAGAACTGAGCAACTCAACTCCTGAACATGAATTACTTTATTCTAATATTTTAAACCAAGTACATGAGAAAATGAAGAAGTTCAAAGAAATCCTTTCTTCCAGTGGCTTATAAAGGAAGCTACCAGATAGGTGACTAATCAGGAAAATACTTTCACACAGAAATCTCAGAGGATCTCTTTCTAGGAAAATATTTAGGAAGGTTTCTTTGTAAAAAAAATTTATAGAAACAAGTAATGGTTTCTTTGTAATCTATGTTTACAGGCATGTAAAGTGCCTTCCATTATGTAAAAATGGCTACATTCAAGGCCATGGTTCTTGACTGTCAAACAAAATGTAAGGACCTCAATGATTATCTACTCAAACCTCCCTTCTTGAAGAAGAAGTTTCACCCTCAAAAATTGTGATAGGTTGAAAACTGCTTAAAAACAAAAATCTCGTTGTTTTACAAGGTACCATGTATCACTGTTACATGTTCCTTATATAGTAAGCTAAAGCCCGCTTCCCTTTAGTACCTACTGGTTTGTCTATTCTTTAACCTCTCCCTTCTTCCCTAATAGCACTTCAGAACTGTAAAGTCAGCAACTCTGTGAAGTCAATCCTTTCCATCTCTTTTAGCCTGATCTACTTCATCTAAAATATCTGCATTTCCCTTAGCCTATGGCATTTTGAAGCCCTCACAGTCCTGGAAGCTTCCTCTGGACATGCTTTAGTTTGTTAGCGTTCTTCAAACGTGGCACTCAGGACTGAACACAATCCTTCACATTTGGTTTGAGAGTAACCTCAAGCCAGGGCTTCCTAACCTTATATTCCAGTTGATTTTTTGAGTTTAAGTGTGGAATTTAATCTCTATCTGTTGAAGTTCATTCTGTTGATTTTGGCTTATCTTTCAGCCTGATGAAGTACTAAACAAGCTTGTGCTTGTTTATATTAGTTTAAGTCTTTTACAAATTTGATAATCATTTTGTTTTGCTTTTTGATTCTTTTTTTTTTTTTTAACTTTAGGCACTGGTTAAAATATTGATTGGAACTAGATTAAGGACAGACTCATAAGGCACTCAACCAGAGAACTACTTCCAGTTTGACATTTCCTTTCAACAAATCATTTTTCTACTCTCTGGCAAGTTCAATTCACTAAGCTAGGGACTTAAAAAAAAAAAAATGCACGTAGCTCTCCTGAGTACACTTAGTTGGCTAGCTGTGAATCCTTCTACTTGTATTGTTCTACTCACATTTTTTCATCATCATCAGATATTTCCAAAGATACCATGCAAAACTTACGAAGCATTACCAAACTGCATCAGTCTTTCCAATGTAACTGGAACCAGAATGGTTTGAAGAGAAAGATTGAAATAAGCACAACAGTATTAAGCTGACTTTCTGGTTGAGTTATGTAAGCATCCTCACCATTGCCCCCAACTAAACGTTCTTGAAACTGCCTTCTGGTCATCGCAGCCCCTTTTTAATATTGTAAGAAATGCCCATACTTTAGGAAATGTAATTGACAGGTTCTTATATGTTGTTAGGGTTTTTCATTTGCCAGATTCACTCTATACTACATTTTTGACCTTCAAAGGTCAAGTCTTTTTATTCGTAGCCTATCCGATAAGCCCCTTTGAGTAAAGGATGAGCTGACATGTAACTAAAGAGTACGTGGTATCAAACCAACAGCCTGACATTTTAGAAAATTACTGAACTAGATACCAAATGCTCTAAAATACATAAATAAAATTCTGAAAGTTGTGTGAAATGTTTTGCTGAAAGTAGGATATAGTATGTTTACAGCATAATTCTTTAGTCCTATTAAAATAGGGAATGAGGCCAGTTCATCATGACTAAACTCTGGTAAATCTCAATGAAAGTCCTAGTGACCCCTGCTTTCTTTTCTCAATGCTCACAAACTAAACTGTGTGTGACATAATTCTTATCTAAGATATTACTGGAGATCAGTGTCAAGTTTACCAGTCAGTAGTTTTCCATAATTCTGTCTTTCCACCTCTGTTTTTGAAAATCATGACATTTTCTCGCTTCTGGTACAGTCGTCTATTACTTCATTTCTACAGAATTTTCCCGAAGATTGCTACTGGTGGTACTGCAGCTATATTTGTAAACTTTTTACAGTACTTTAGGATGTGATTGGGAGAGGGAGGCTCAGAACATTAATTTGCTTAAAATAAGTCCTTACATTGATGCACCTATATTGTACTTAGTTCTTGTTTTATAATATTTATTCTTATGATCACATTTTTTGAGGATTACTTCCTTTGCCAAATAAGATGAAAACAAAAATCACAGTTGAGTAGTTCTAGCTTTTTTTTTTTCTCGGTCATTTATTAATGTTATATCATCATCTCTAAGCTCTCAGCGAGTCCCTTTTTTGTAATTCTTTTTGCTTGGAATTTGACCATAAAACCCCTTCCCAAGCCTTGGTTCATGATGAACTTTAGTTACTCTTGAAGTAAGTTCATTCCATTTTTTGTTTTGTTTTCATTGTTGCTTATATGTTTCTCTGTCTATCTTTTAAGAATCCGAGCTCATCAGATTTTTTTATAGCACCACTTGTTTCTGTCATTTTTATTTCTAACTCTGTCTTCCTGTGATTGGTCACACCTGTATAGTCTCTCTTCCCATCTATTCATAGACTTATGTGAATCTTGGTGTCTAGGTTCATTTTAATTTGTTATAATGAACCCTAAAGTTATTTAGGCCAGTTTTTTCCATAAGGTACTGTTTATTTCACCACAACACATCTGTCAGTTTGTCATACTATGGTGTCTTGCACATTGCTGTGATACTGGAAGCTGTGCCACCAGCATTTCAAATACCAGCGAAGCCACCCACAGTGGACAGGTTTCAGTGGAGTTTCCAGACTAAGACAGACCAGGAAGACAGGCAGTCTACTTCTGAAAAAAATGACCAGTGAAAACCTCATGAATAGCAGCGAAACATTGTCTGATACAGTGCTGGAAGATGAGACCTTCAGGTTGGAAGACATTCAAGATATGACTGGGGAAGAGCTGCCTCCTCAAAGTAGAGTTGACCTTCATGATGTAGATGGAATAAAGCTTTCGGGACCTTCATTTGCTGATGTGGCATGACTCAAAATGAGAAGAAACCCCTGAAAACATCCATTAGTAATCAGAATGTGGCATGTAAGAAGTATGAAACTAGGAAAATTGGAAGTCGTCAAAACTGAAATGGAATGCATAAAGATCGATATCCAAGGTATTAGTGAGCTGAAATGGACTGAGAATCAGGCAATTACATGGTCTGCTATGCCTGGGATGACGAATTGAGGAGTGATGACGTTGCATTTGTCATCAAAAAGAATGTTTCAAGATCTGTCCTGATAGGATAATATCCATATGCCTACAAGGAAAACCAGTTAATATGACTATTACTCAAATTTACACACCAACTACTAATGCCAAAATTGAAGAAATTGAAGATTTTTACCAACTTTTGCAGTCTGAAATTGCTCAAACATGCAATCAGGATACATTGATAATTACTGGTGATTGGAATGCAAAAGTTGGAAACAAAGAAGGATCTGTAGTTGGAAAATACAGCCTTGGTGATAGAATCGATGCCAGAGATCACATGATAGAATTTTGCAAGACCAACGACTTATTCATTTCAAATAGCTTTTTTCAACAACATAATCAGCAATATACACGTAAGCCTCACTGAATGGAAAACACAGGAATCAAATCGACTACGTCTGTGGAAAGGGACAATGGAAAAGCTCAATATCATCAGTCAGAACAAGACCAGGGGCCATCTGTGGAACAGACCATCAATTGCTCATATACAAGTTTAAGTTGAAACTAAAGAAAATTAAAACAATTCCACAAGAACCAAAGTATGACCTTGAGTGTATCCCATCTGAATTTAGATACCATCTCAAGAATAGATTTGACACATTTAACACTAATGACCAAAGATCAGACGAGTCGTAATGACATCATATATGGAGAAAGCAAAGGGTCATTAAAGAGAGAGGAAAGAAAGAAAAGACCAAAATGAATGTCAGAAGAGACTCTGAAACTTGCTCTTGAACTTTTAGAATAGTTAAAGCAAATGGATGAAATGATGAAGTAAAGAGCCAAACAGAAGATTTCAAAGGGCAGCTCGAGAAGACAGAGTAAAATATTACAATGAAATGTGCAAAGAACTGGAGTTAGAAAACCAAAAGGGAAGAACACGTTTGGCATTTCTCAAACTGAAAGAACTGAAGAAAAAATTCAGCCACGAGTTGCAATATTGAAAGATTCTGTGGGCAAAAAATGGAACGACACAGGAAGCATCAAAAATAGATGGAAGGAATACACAGAATCACTGTACCAAAAAGAATTGGTCGATGTTCTGTCATTTCAGGGGGTAGAATGTGATCAAGAACCCGTGGTATTAAAGGAAGAAGTCCAAGCTGCGGTGAGGCATTGGCAAAAACAAGGCTGCAGGAATTAATGGAATACCAGTTGAGATGTTTCAACAAACAGATGCAATGCTGGACGTGCTCACTTGTCTATGCCAAGAAATTTGGACGACAGCTACCTGGCCAACCTACTGGAAGAGATCCATATTTATGCCCATTCCAAAGAAAGGTGATCCAACAGAATATGGAAATTATTGAACAATATCATTTATATCACATGCGAGTAAAATTTTGCTGAAGATAATTCAAAAACAGTTGCAGCAGTACATTGACTGGGAACTGCCAGAAATTCAAGCTGGATTCAGGAGAGGATGTGAAATGAGGGGTATCATTGCTGATGTCTGATGGATCTTGGCTGAAAGCAGAGGATACCAGAAAGATGCTTACCTGTGTTTTATTGATTAGGCAAAGGCTTCTGACTGTGTGGATCATAACAAATTATGGATAACATTGCAAAGAATGGGAATTCCAGAACACTTAGTTGTGCTCATGCAGAACCTGTACATAGTCCAAGAGG